GTAATCCATGATAGAATTTTTTGAAAATTTGTGATTTTTTTTTTTAATCCATGATCGATTTTTTTGAAAATTTGTTATTTTTTTTTTAATCCATATTATTCAAAGAGAAAATGAGAGAGATGATGAATCTGAGGCCACCCTATCCTAGCCATATTATTCACATATCGAGTCCCAACAGCAACAGTGTAGGGATGAGCACGACAGTGCAGGTGAACATGAAGGATGGACAATCTTCGGGGATTTTAGATTGAGAACACAACAAAACACTAACACTCAGGGATTCGGGAATACTCAGACGCTTGCTAATATCGATGATTCTTTTTTAGATCGAATCAATGAATTGTTAAACGAATTCAATCAATGGCACCAGCGTGACCAAGAAGAACAATAATATCGTCTATCATTTTATTTTTAGATCATATGTTACTAATTTTATGCTTTATTGTAGTCCATGTATGTTGATATACTTATTCCATGATAATTATATGTTTATCCTTTTGTGTGATGTAAATTAAATGCTGCATGGTGGTTCATGCAGGGAAAGAACATATCAATATTCGCATATTCATTCAAAAACATGAAAATTCTTAATGGAGTACCCTCGTTTCTTATTGAGTTCCTAAAAAACAATATTTATAATGAATTTTAATAATTTTTTCGAATTTTTTTTAAGCTTTATTCTGACCGATTCACCCGATTCCCGATCTGGATCGCCGATTCGCCGATCCGATCGATTTTTTGGAAGCCCGATCCGGGTCACCGATCTGTTTTTTAAACCATTGGTTGCAACCTTCAACGATCCAATTAAGATGCATCTCAAAATTTTATTATAACATGTAATGTTGTTGCAAAAAATTATTAGGACTATCTTAAAATCTATTTTCATATCTAATTATAAAATTTTAAATTTTGAAAATAGTTAAAATCAAGTAGATCTGTAAATATATGAAAAACTTGAAAATATACGGTCTAGATAATGTGTTGCAAGATGTATTATTTATGGGACTCAAAAACTTTTTTTTTTTTATATTCATACATCTCGATACCAAGATGATCGATTAGAGGGTTTTCGACATTAAAACAACATTTCCGATAGATTTTTGAGGTGCATATGTAATTCTACATTTCAATGTTGCAACCTTATATAACTTTTTCCTTTTGGAAAAAACTAATATCATTTTTCAAAAAAAATTAAAAATATCTAAAATTTTTAGACAATATCTAAATTTTTTATATATTAGGCTTGTAAACATTTTTTTCTCCTCAGTCTTTTATAACTAAAACCCCTTGATTACGGATCTGTGAGGTCTACAGTGTTAGAAAGCAAGGCAGATCAAACAAAATTGTGGGCTTGTTACCACTACACCTTGCAAATCAACAATGTGAGAACTACATGTCAATCAAGTTACAGCCACCCTGTGTAGGTAAGAGCTAATTGATTTAGTGCCCAAATATATTAATCATCATCATTATCTAATTGATTTAGTGCCCAAATATATTAATCATCATCATTATCTGAACTTTATCCCAGCTATTTAGAATAAAAATTTATTTTTAAAAATATATTAAAAAATTATGTTTAATATATATAAAAAAAATTTATATATAGAACCGAGGCTCTAAACAATCAAATTGGAACCTACCACAAATTGATCATCTCGACATCAAGATATATAGACATGAGAAAAAAATAGATTTCAAGTTTTAAAAATAATGTATTTTATAAAACATTTTTTTGACCGTCAATTTCAAATTTTCGTAGAGCTGTCGATCAACATTATTTTTGAAGCTTTGAACTTTACAAACAAATATGAAAATATATTTTAAAGTTATCACAAAGATTTTCAATATTGAAACCATATGTCTCGATACTATTTGAAGGTAGGCTCTAATTTGATTATTTAGAGCCTAAGCTCTATACAAACCGCACCCATATATAAAAGTTTTAAATATAATTATTTTTCAGTATTTATCAGCTCGTTATTGTTTTTGGCTTCCTTTTTTTGCCAAAATCTATTTGTATTTATTCAAGTAATTATGGTAATGAGGTGGCGAGTGGGTTTATGTATTAAAGGGGCTTACGTGTCTGCTGGGTCACGGGAGACGCGGTGACACAGTGTGCGCGCCGACGGTCCAGCCGTGCTCAACGTGACGCGTGGGCCCACTCACATGCACCCACGCTCCACGTCCCTTTCCTTCCCTTTAGAGAGAGAAAACTTGCGCTTTTTAGAGTGAGAAACAGAGCCCGACAAAAAAGGGAAGAGTAGGGCGAGCCGTGAACGTTTTTAACAGATCCTACAGTTGAGAGAGAGAGAGAGAGAGTTGTTTCTCTCTAAGTTTTACATTGAAAAAGAACAAGACGTCACAATCGGGTCGGGTCGACTTGTACTGGTTCAAGTCCAAATCTTGGATCTGACCTTAATCGGTCTAGGTTGGTCTTGAACTCCTCTTAGGTCGAATATAAAAATATTATATAATACAAAAATTAAAGAGTTCAAGATAGATCCTGACTCGTTTATAAGCTGAAATTACAAAGAAAGTCGGTTAACTTATCATTTTTTATTTTTTTTTCAAATTTGCCTTTCGATAATTTTGAACTGTGATTATTATTATTTTTATAATTTATTTTTAGCAACTTGGTTGAATAACATACTTTATGCATAGGGCCGTGCCTTTTTTTTATATTTTTTGTAGCAAGTTGGTTGACGAACATAGTTTGTGTATGTGGCCATGCCCCAAGCTTTAAGGCACTGCCCTACTAACGAAATAACTAAAAAAAATCAAATTCGGGTTGAATGAAAGGTAACTTTAAAAAAAAAAAAAAAAAAATGACTGGTTGACTTTTATTTTTTATAATTTTTAAGTAGAGCATTTTGTATTTTACCTAAAATTTTAAAATTCTTTTATTTATTAAAATTTTTAGACGTGAGTGAGTCTTGGTCGGGTTAAAAAATGACTTGAACCCAGGTCAGGTTTAAATCCATTTTATACCTCGCAAGGCCATTTGGAACCCGACCGATTGACCCGGGTAGAATTTATTGGATCCTTCTCTCTGAGCTCTTGAGAGAGAAAGAGTAGGATTAAGTGAATGCCACGCATGTAAGTATGAATGGATGTATGAAAGCCATGTACATATCTATGTATCCCATGTAAGCGTGCAATGCGTGCTTTCTCTTTCACAGACGGACTTCCTTTCATTTTCTGCGGTCACCGAAATACCACCCATCTTTATCCATTTATTGCTTGATCTAAGTATGTTGATGCAAAATGTAATATATATTGAATAAAAATAACCTCTCCCATTTCACTGTAACAAACGATAGGTAGAGTTATTATCAGTATAGATTGTTTTCAACTATTTGGAATCGACCACACAAACGCTAATCTATTGCTCTGCTCTACACAAACGCTAATCTACCGCTCTGCTCTATCAAGGGTTACTGTTTTAATGGGATCATAAGTTGTCATATATTTGTGTTACTACTTCCAACTATGGGATCTTTTTTGGGCATGCACTTTACCCTTTTCAGGCATTCAACTTAAGACAATTTGTAACTTATAAGAGGTTTTGTAATGTGTTCGCTTCATGTGACCAACCTATTTTAGTCTACTTTAACTCATCTTATCACTTATTGGAGCCATAATTAACTTCTTTCAAATATATTCATTTTGAATTCTATCCTTTCTTATTTTTTCTTTCATCCATCTCAACATCTCCACACAGCTACACACATCATATAGCTATGTTGTTTCTTTACTGCCCAACATTCTACCCCATAAAACAAAGCTAGCCTCACAATTGTCTTATAGAACTTCCCTTCGTGCTTCATTAGTATGTGATGATCACATAAAACTTCAATAGCTTATCTCCACATCGTCCAACCAGCTATAATTACATGTGTGACATCATACTCAATCTCTTAATTTTCTTGGATCATCGATCCAAGAAATCGAAAAATATCGATGGGGATGTTGTTAAATAATTTATTCATCCTTGGCAAAAAATTTGGACCAATTCTAAATTTGTGCATATCATCCTTTCGCAAGGGCCGTGTTAAATTATTACGTACCATTTTCAGCTTTTATTGAGTGTTATGGAAGAGATATTTCTTATATCACTCGGTTCATTAGAAATGTTAGAGTTTACTATCAAATAGTTAGAAAAATGTTTTGATGATGATAATGATTAGATGTCGTTTTGATTTATGAGGCAAGTTATTTTCGAAATGTAGTAAAAAAAATGAGATAGAATTCGATAAGATGAAGGAGAATAGACTTAGGTGGACTGGTTATGTATAGTGCCGACTCCATAAAATATATATTAAGAGATGCGTGTTAGTTCAAATAAAAAGATTTAAAAAAAAAAATATGGTTGAAAGTAATTCGGTAAGATATAAAAGTTTATTCCTGATGATACGACAGCGGAACGACCGATTAGGATTTGCCTAACCGAACCAATTTATTCATAAACTGTTGTGATAATGACGAGTGTAATAATGATGAGTGAAAGAACATGGGTTGTTTCGCCATTTTCCAAATTTTAAGAGAAAAGCCGCGTGCATTTTGGTCTCACAAAACCGGATGTTGTTTTGAAAAGCGGTTTCCGGACTATCCAAAAACACGCGCTAATTTCGGCGAAGCCGAAATTTCGGTCTCCTTTTCTTTAATGTCTTGTAGCGGGTTCGGTGGTGAGAAGGGGGATCTATTCAAAGGGGAATAAAGGAAACAACAAAAATAAAATGAAATAAAATCATTAAATAAGTTTTAAAAAATTACAATGAAAAATAAATAAATTATTAAGCCGTTATATTAAATAAAAAACAAAGAAATAAAAAACGAAAAAGTGGAGTTCAGGTATAACCACACGGCCTTTCTAGCTGTGTTATAGCTGGCCTCTCTGGTCTCTTCTCCACCTTCAAAACCCTAGAAATCCAAACCCTAACCCAAGAGTTCTCATCGCCATTGCCCCTTCTCCCCAAAAACCCTAGAAATATTTCAGAGCGTTTTTCATCTCTGCAAACCCTAGAACCCACATTGCTCTGTTCCTTTGGGAGCCATTGAAGAGGTCTCTCACTCTCTGCAACCCTCACAATGCCATAGAAATGGTTCCAAGCATTAGAGAACCCATTTGCTCGGCCATTATTTGGTGGTTGCTACTGGTTCTTACCGGGGGTTTTTGTGGGATAAGCGGCCATGGCTTCTCTCGCTCTGAAGCTTCATCCATAGAGCTCAGTCATGGCCATGGCCATGGCTTCTCTGCAAGTTTACACGAAGCTCTTGTTGATGGACCGGAGCTCGAACCAGGCTTTGGATTCAGAAGCCATGGCTTGACCTTTGCCGAGGCTTCATCCATCAAGCACAGGCAGCTCCTTTACTACATCGATAGGTATGGAGACAGAGGAGAGAGTGTATTCGTAGATCCGAGCTTCGAGTTCGAGAATTCGAGGCTCCGAGAAGCTTACATTGCTCTTCAGGCATGGAAAATGGCCATTATTTCAGATCCCATGAACATCACAGGTAACTGGATTGGCCCTATTGTCTGCAACTACACTGGAGTCTTCTGCTCAAAGAGCTTAGATGGCTTGAACCTCACTGTAGTGGCCGGAATCGACTTGAACCACTCTGATATCGCCGGTTATTTGCCTGACGAGCTCGGAAAACTCACCGATCTAGCTCTTCTTCACCTGAACTCAAATCGATTTTGCGGCACCATTCCGCACACTTTCAAGAGATTGAAGCTCCTCTACGAGCTTGATCTCAGCAATAATCGATTTGCTGGTCGATTCCCCACTGTAGTTCTCAAACTACCTACCCTGAAATACTTAGATCTCAGGTACAATGAGTTCGAAGGCCCCGTTCCTTCGTCTCTCTTCAATCGGCCATTAGATGCCATTTTCCTCAACCACAATCGATTCCATTTTGAAATTCCAGAGAACTTTGGGAACTCTCCTGTCTCTGTGGTGGTTCTGGCAAACAACAGATTCAGGGGCTGCATTCCTTCGAGCTTGGCAAAAATGGCTCCCACATTGAATGAAATCATTATTATGAATAATGGATTATCTGGTTGTGTACCAGAGGAGTTTGGAGCTCTGAAAAATCTAACTGTTTTGGATGTGAGCTTCAACAAATTGGTGGGGAATTTGCCTCTAAATTTAGGTGGACTTGTCTCTTTGGAACAGTTGAATGTTGCTCACAACATGCTTTCAGGTCAGATTCCTCCTCAAATTTGCAGTCTTCCAAATTTAGACAACTTTACTTTCTCTTATAACTTCTTTGAGGGAGAGCCCCCTGTGTGCTTGAGGCTCCCAAGCTTTGATGATAGGAGGAATTGCATTAATGGAAGGCCAAAACAGAGGCCAAGGAAACAATGTAAATCTTTTCTCTCTCATAGAGTGGATTGTGGTAGTGTCAAGTGTGGTCGAGTTTCGCCATCTCCTCCACCGGTATTTTCGCCCCCGCCACCTCTGGTTTTATCACCCCCATCGCCACCAGTTTCATTGCCCCCTCCGGTGCCAATTTCTTCGCCCCCACCTCCGCCAATTTCATTGCCACCACCACAGCCAATTTTGTCGCCACCGCCGCCACCAATTTTGTCGCCACCACCGGCTCCGCTATATTCACCACCTCCGCCATCTCTGCCACCTCCTCTATATTCACCACCACCACCTTCGCCTCCCTCGCCATCTCCACCACCATCTCCTCTATACTCGCCGCCTCCGCCTCCGCCTCCGCCTCCGCCACCTTCCCCTCCGCCACCTCCCCCTCCCCCTCCACCTCCACCTCCACCTCCACCATCCCCCCCACCACCTTCGCCACCCCCGCCATCCCCACCACCACCTTCACCATCTCCCCCACCCCCTTCGCCACCCCCACCATCTCCCGCACCACCTTCGCCACCCCCACCATCTCCCCCACCACCATCGCCACCCCCGCCATCCCCCCCACCACCATCGCCACCACCGCCAATTTTGTCCCCACCACCTCCGGTATATTCGCCACCACCTCCTCCGCTAAATTCACCGCCACCTCCAATTTCACCACCTTATTGTATAAGGTCTCCCCCACCACCTCCGCCAAATTCACCACCACCACCACCGCCTCACTATCCACCTCCCCCTTCTCACCATCCACCACCGCCTCCTCACTATCCACCACCGCATCACTATCCACCACCTCCTTCTCACCATCCACCACCGCCTCCTCACTATCCACCACCCCCACCACATGTGCATTCTCCACCACCACCGTCACCAGTGTATAGCCCACCGCCGCCCATTCACCTTTCACCACCACCACCGTATTACTATGAGTCCCCACCACCACCTCAACCTGTGTATTCTCCTCCTCCACCTTGCATAGAACCACCACCTCCTCCTCAACCTTGCATTGAACCACCGCCACCACCTACTCCTAGCTATTTGCCAACCCCATCTCCATCACCACCACCGCCACCAATCCATTATAACTCCCCTCCTCCACCTTCACCACCGCCACCAATCTATTATAGCCCACCTCCACCACCACATTACAGTTCACCCCCACCTCCAATTCATCATAGTCCACCACCTCCAATTCACTATAGTTCACCCCCACCACCTCCACCAGTTCCTTGCAATTCTCCACCCCCACCACCACCGATGAGCGAATTGCCACCTCCTTATATGGGGCCATTGCCACCAGTTACAGCGATTTCTTATAGCTCGCCACCTCCACCGCCTTATTATTGATTCTTTTTATAAAGGATGTATTGATACTCGTTAGGCATGGCAAATTTAAACCATTGTTTCTGGCCACAAGGATTCATGGCCATGGCTTTTTTCTGAGGATTCTTGATTGTTTAAGATCACTTCCAGGTGATTATATGAGAAATTGCTCAGAGGAAAAGAAAAAGGAAACAGATCGGTGTGTCTTCATTTGTCTGGTTCATGTAACTGGGTTCTTCTGAACCTTGGAGTTTAAGATCAGATGTAGGAGTTGGGTTGTGTTTAGGTTTTGGGTATAAGGAAGAGGGGGAGTGATATTTATTTGAGAGAGTTTATTCGGTTGTGAATAAAAGGTTCCAGGGAAGAGAGAGAGAGAGGATACTTCACGGTGGGTGAAGCTGAATCAGTTGTAGAGAGAGAGAGGAATGGAGAGGGAAGAAATGTGAAGCATATGAGAGGGGTATTAGTTGCAGGGAATGTATAGAAAATTAGATTTATGCAGTCAGATGCTGCTGGTTTCCTATCATCCTGTTCTTAGATTTCTTTCTTTTTTTGTCGATTTATAATATCATCACTTATGGATCTTCAGGAGTTTGAGTGTTCTTACTCTTCTTTTCGATCTTCTCATCTTCACGTTGAATTGTTTATGAGATTATTACATTGCTTATGTGATCTGGCTTTAGCCTGCTCAAACTTGTTTGTAAATGGTTGTTGTCTGCAATAAAGAGAGCATGCTCCTCTCTCTCTCTCTCTCTCTCTCTCTCTCTCTCTC